GCAATGAATTGATTGCCTATACTCGACCAAAGACATTGAGAAAGTTACAAAAATCAAAGAAATATGTGTTACCTAAATTTAATAACTATTATGGAAAAAGAAATTGGAAATATTTGTTACCGGCGATATTGAATGAAATGACTGATGAATCTGTATCTTATTATCTGAATAAGCGTAATTATAAAAAATATCTGAAAAAATACTTTCTTGATAAAAGTAAGAATGATTACATTATATAAAATTATGTTCTCATCTATTGCTAAGTAAGATTAACTTGCTTGAAATACCTTATGTCAATTGCATTGTTAAATAATAAAAATAACGTTATGTAACTATCTAATATACCTTGATAAATTATTGTAATTATTTTAGGAACGTTGTATTTGAACTCCACGGGCACTGATAAACCCGAAAGGGCTTTTGTGCGCTTATGATGTACTTTTGCATGCAAAAAAAAAATTGTATATTTTTGGACAATAAAAAAAAAAAAAAAAAAAAAAAAAATTTTTACATAAATATAATCGTATACGTATACTTTTATATCCGGAATAAGTAACAGCGCGGTAACAGAAAAGTTTTTATTGCGAAAGGTATAATACTTTGACGTTAACTTTAAATATTGCTCGGGATTGGGCTTTCTTGATCGAAACTGAGGGGGAATCCCAGAGACGTGCAGCTTGGGCGGTAAATGAGGAATCAAAAAAGGAAGTGCCTCAAGAGTGAGTTTCTCTGATGATAGCAATGCATGACGAATTTGCAGAGTGGAGAAAATTGAAACGATCTTTGAGATAGTTGGGATAACAGGGATTAAACAAAATGTAATCCTACTGAATATAATTTACCCGAACATTAAAACAAGCTAGGACCATTAATCGACAAACACGTCAAATGTAATTAGCCCGCGTCAGCCCTTGACCTTTCTACAAAGCACGTCACATGTAAATAAAACATGAATAGTAGCAGTAAAATGTAAACAGTTTTCAACTTCATATAGTCTTGGGTCTTTTAAAAGAGGTTTGAAGTATTTACTTGACCGACAAAATAGTGCCCTGCGGGAAAACTTCGATTTTTAGCAGCTTTTTTATTATTGGATTGCAGATACACCTTCCAACATGTGTACCATAGTCACTTTGTCGTGCCACAATAAATAAAATGCTGTGTTGATTACAAAGACAATGCAGAGTTATAGAAGCTTAACTATTATTAATATACTAAATTAAGGGTCTAATAATGTTCATGGTTTTTATTTTTATTTCACAAAAATCATGAAATTTTCATGTTAACTTTCACGGACGATGAATATTTATGTATATAAATTGATTGAGGTATTTATATGGATAGCTGAAAGGGTTAATTGATCCATGTGTTTTTTTTCGGACTGTTGAATTATGTAAATATGAATGCTGCTGTGCTGAAGATTAAGTAAAATTTGATGTAAATTACATTTTTAACAATTTTACGTTGAAAATGTCAGTTATTCAACCATCAATATTTGGAGATTACCATTTATAAATAGGGATGATGCCTGCGTAAAAAAAAGGGAAAAATATTAGATACTTATTTATTAAATCCCTTATATAATAGGCATTAAAGTTGAGCCGTGGAGGCTAACTACGTCATAAGTAGGTAGAAAATCGGCAAAGGTTGCATTTCAACACAATTTATCACCGTAGTTAATTGCAAAAAATTTGTACCTCACTTACGGGCAAAAAATATATGACATCATCCCTTCCCCTTTCAAGTATCTATATATTTGTATTTTAACGAATTACTCTTTATAAAAGGGGTTAAAGTTTGAAATTGCCTATTTGTACTGAATATCAAAATTGTTTATTTTTAATTTTTAACAATTTTATTTAATCAAAATAGTTACCATTATTATCTATACATTCGTGCCATCTAATAGGAAGGTCATTTAAGCCTTTGCGATAGAACTCTGAGGATCTAGACTGCACAAACTATATGAAAGCATTTGTACTGCCTCCTGGGAAGAAAGCTTTATGTCACGTAGATAATTGTCCAAATCACGAAAACAATGGTAGTCCGTTGGAGCAAGGTTGGAGTCAGGGCTGTTTTACTGTTAGTTTTGCCAACCTTGTTCGGAGTTCAGCACAATAGACATCTGCCGTTATTTCTTGACCAGATCGGAGAAAACTATAGTGAATAACACCATCCTGAGACCACCAAACAGTTACCATTACCTGTTTATTGGTAAGTATTGCTTTAGAACACTGTTGGCGTGGTGGCGTTTGACCTGAATCAGACATTGCATTTTTCTTTTACAGTTATCATAAAGAATTCATTTTTCATCACATGTCACAATTTGATCCAATATTCCTTCATTTCTGTACCGATTCAATCAGCAACACAAGTTACAACACGCGTTTCTTTCTGCAGATCAGTCAAATCATGAGGCACCTATTTTTCGTATTTTTTTCCTATTTATTGATTTAACGCAAATGAGTGAATATATTGTGGGTAAGGTAACGTTAAACCATGAGCTGATTCCTAGGTAGTTTGACTAGGATCGGCTTCCATTATATCTCTTAATTCATCGTTATTCACCTGTGAGGGCGGTCTTCCTCGTGGCTCGTTCTTCAGGTCGAAGTTTCCATCACGAAAGCGTTTAAACCAAAATCGCACAGTGCGTTCATAAGCAGACCCCCTAAAACGCAACATTGATATTGCGAGCTGTTTCCGCCGCGTTACTTCAGCGTCGGAACTCGTATTCAAAAATCACTCGAATTTTCGAAGTATCAATCTTTCTTGTATAAATTGAATAAAAACAATTGAAAGTCGATATTTAAATGTTTCACATTTTTAAAAGAAGAACATCATAGAAACCCTGTGAAAAAAGTTTCTTTCGAAAACCTCAAACCATGAAGATTCTATGTCAATTCAAGGAACTTATTACAATAAAACGGCAATTTCATACTTTAACCCTAATACTTACGTTTAATTTTAAGAGAACCCGGGAAGATTTATTAAAAAGTTTTTCCTTGAGATGACTCCTGCTAATAAAATTCATTAGACTGGCCCCGATCTCAATCTGTATTCTGAATTTTCTTATTTCCAGCTTCATATATATATATATTTTTTACATAAAACCTATTTATTTTATTAACGAGAGATACTTTTTTGCTGCTTGTTACCTAAGCAAGTAAGAATAAGTACAGGTCATGCGTTCGGTATCTACGCTAAAGATAAAGATGGATACAATGTTTGTCTCTGGTTTTGTTGATGATCCATGCAAGATCTAAAAGTGAGAACACGCTCATGATCGGAAATAAAGATTTTCTACAAAGGAGATCTTTACAAAATATATGGTGGTCCTGACCAAAATTTAATACAGCTTTTATGTATGTATCGCTCTATTTACACGACGAATATTTAACGTCATTAGTCTATTAAGACGGTTGATGTCCATCGCGCCCAAAACCGTGGACCCGCGCTCGAATTACAATCAAGATTAACAAATATTTTCTAACAAAGCTTTGATATGAACACAATAAGAATGAATATAACATTACATGTATTCTGTTTTGCCAGAAAAATACTTGTTTAGAAACACGTGTTCTGATTGCGTAGGCAGGATCGCAAGACGTTGATGGAGGGTGCGGCCTGGAGAAACAAAGAAGCCAATTTGAAGTAATATTTTTTTTCTTGGAATTTTACGAATAACATCGTGTTTTTTTTTTACTTCTTATAAATGTCAACGAGTCAACCAAATGTTAATATCACATTAATGATAGTTAAGAGTATCTAATCTAAAAAGCAAATTGATACATCTTGATCCTTGAGATCTCTTTCTTCATTGATTCATATGAAAATACATAGAGGTGTGTGATAACTCGCTTATTATACGCTACAATGTAACGTTTATACTGCTAAAAAGTACACATTTTAGCCCAGCATTTTCTACATACACATGTATACTTTATATACTACTTCTGAAACATTCCCTAAGAATCTAACCTTAAATTCATCGCAGATGAAGCTTAATAAAAAACCTGCACATGAAAGAGTAAGTGTGTAAAATAGAAGAACTTAACTGTGTAATAAAATACTATTTTAATTTCATTATTATTACATTTACAAAAACCTAAAAACAGTTTTTTCGTGAAGTTGGAAGTAATGAAATATTTTTATAAATCACAATGTACGTACTCTAAAAATATAATAATTTGGATTCAAAACAGACTTCCTTAACTAATTATTTCAGTCGAGAAACATCTCATGGTTTTATTCAATTACTGAGTTTTTCAATTCCAGTTATGAATTAGTTCTAATAATAATATCATCTTTCAGTTCGGTCAGACGGTAGTCAAGGTTATATAATATTTAGGGATTCAACTCCACTAAAATGTCTGTAACCAATTGATTAATATTTAATACATTCTGTATTTTCAATGAAAAAATAAATGGATTACAGTTACGTAGTAACATGAACTTTAATAGTAAATTTGTTTCTTTTTATTTTCTACTTTACCCGTCAAAAGAGGCCGCTGTGTTTAAAATTCAGTTGCTATTAATGCATTAGTCTCTATTTTTCAATGACTTCTCTCGCGTAGATTATAGCTTACGACACCTGCTTTTAATGCAGTTTAAGAATTTTTTTAAATCGCTCGTATAGTTTCGAAGCTTATACGTTGCAAACAAACAAATAGTTAAATCTTACCTCCTTATAATATTAAATAAATATTCATAAAAAGTAATATTTACTTTATTCCTTTTATGTATGTGCCCCACGTCCAGCGCTGTCAGAAAATAAGAGCTTTTATGAGATTTTCAGTAGGTGCACTTGCAACCCAGTTAACCTGTCATCCCTAATCTACTTTTTGTTAGATATCTTTTTATTTATAAGTAAATTTTTTATTTCTTTTTTGTTTATTATCATCAAATATGAATTAAAACAAAGTTTTCTAAATTTATCCTTATTTTCATTGAATAAACAATAAAGAATATGTTATATATCAATCATAATATTATCACAATTTCATATGAAGAAGTTTAGATCTGTTTGCGAATATGTGGGAGGTATTCTTATGTTAAAATATTGGGGTAAAAAAATATTTGATCAAGAAAATTTGCTAAGCTCCTGAATTTGTTCGTTTTTTATATTTGATCTCAAATTTGTTGGTTACTTTATTCTAAAGTTAGGTTTTCTATTAATATAAAGATGGTCAATTAGAACAATTTACTCTTTAATAATGATAACAATTATCTAACGAGATACGACAATACCTACTAATTACGTTGGACGGGATCATCCCGCTTTCTGGTTATATGTCCCACTGTTCCCAATCTAAACAAAATATTCCTGCCTTTCGAAAGCCGATTATTTTTCGGATATTTCCCCTCTAATAAATACGATACAACAGTACTGAAAGTTATTTAATTATGAATATTAGCAAAAACAAATAAACTATTCTTTGACTCTTCATTTCTTCTTGAAAACCATCTAGACTCATTCCGTCTTATTTATAAAACGAGGGCTAAAGTTAGTATACTTGGTTTACCATTAGCCGCCTAAAGAAGTTGACCAATGACAGAAGAGAAAACGACGAGTTGCGACTTGTTGACCTAATTTGGTCTAATAATAGTTTAAACCAATGGCCTAATTGTCTAATTTCAACTTCTATTGCAATTATTTTCAAAGGTATAACAATTGTGATAGCTATTTATGGAATTATGTAATAAAAAAATAGTAACTTGCTTTTGAAAATTCCAATTAACGTCAATTAGAGATATCGTTCATTTAATATATTTCTAAGAACATCGCGGACGCAATTGCTATCACTGTCAAATAGTTGTGAAGTTCGTGAATATCTTTCAAATGTCAAATTGATTTTTAAATTAGACGGTTAGGGTACTTAAGTTACTCCTTGTTTTATAATAAGACGGACTTTTTTTAATCAACATAACATTATTTTAACTAGATTCATTAAGGCATCACGGGTTGATCTTGTTGTTTAGATACTGGACATGTTCATAGGGGTGTAATACATATTAGCGAGTAGTTCCTACAACATCCATTTAATTATTTGCCGTGCAGTTTATCCCGGCGCGCTCGGCTTATTGGAACCTTGGTTCAAGGTGACATTGTCAATACATACGATGGACGCGTAACGAAACTACGTGGCTGCGAGGGAGATAAAATGAAGCCTTATTATACTTAAGCCTTACTTGGTATTTAGTTAGATCGAGACATATTTTATAATAAAAATTAATGACCGGGCACCACTTTGCAATTCCTAGAACTTACTAAGTTTATTCTAATTGACATACAACAGGTTTAAAAAGAGTAGAAAATATTATTAAACTATACATCAATATGTTTCATATAACTTAATGATTATATTTTTATTTAGATTAACATATATCTTTTAAAAGTATTTGTATCGAAAAATATATCCTGAGCTGAAATAGAAAACCATGACACCCTTAGCGTTACAATATTATAAATCGTAAAAAATGTCTATATTTAAAAAATCATTTAATAAGTTTCTAGTAGAATACTAGTGAGCAAACTGTAGAGTTATATGGACGAAAACCATATGCCATATGACTGTAGGTCATCGACCACCGTGTACAGTAGAAATGTGTTTTAGACAATTTATTTTAATTTTAATATGCGATTATATCAGAAAAAAGGAATAAATAACTTGAGTATAAATTCATCGTAACAAACACAATTTTAAAATTTGCGTACTGACTAGAAAATTTTTCTGTATTTGAATATCCGCTGCGCAAGACTGTACTCGCTACGTTATATGACGCTATCCTATTTGTTTTCCTTTCAATATGCCACGAGAGAAATTCCGCTATAAATTGCCTCATCACACGTAAACCTTTGTATGCCTTCATAAAGCTACAAATATAAAATTTTCGTTGCGCTAGAAAACGGAAATACGTATATAGAAGAATTGTTTTATTTTACTACGCCTCGAGACAAGTATAAGGTATAATCAAAGACTTCTATGTATGTTATTAGACAATATTTTCAGGATGTCAGAGATACCCCGATCGAGCCCGATCGGGCCCCGAACTTATAATCTTCACCTTCCTTTGTTATTTGTTATGGCTAGCACCAATATAGCCTTATGAATGGAAAAAATATTCAATAAATATCTTGTGTCGTCGATACCTTAATCAGCAATACTGCGATTCTGTTAAGCACAGCCTCGAGAGTGACAATGAGTGCAGCGCTGTCAGTGCTTCGGGGTTCAACCAAATAAATCCTACATGAAAACGTAATTAACATTTTGTCATTGAAGCTCTAGGCTTTGTTTTACTGTGTTTTGTGGCTATGAGAGTTTAAAAAAATAGCAAAGCTGATCTATTGCTCGGTATTGCTGCTGTACATCATATTTTCTTTTATTGCAGCTGATGAATGGCATGGCGTGGCGTTTTGGGCATGGGTGTGCGCGGCGGCAGCTTTGGTGCTGTCCTTGCTCGCTGCGGTAGTCTGTTGGATAGCACGCAGGCGCAACACGCTTGCACACAAACTAGGTATGTTAGCTCCTGGCTAGATTAGTGCAGGTAGAAAATTTTATCGATATAATTGCTATTATTCACATTTAAGTTTAGAAGCTACACATCGAAAATATGAAAATTAATTTGATTTTATTTACATGAATGTATGGAATATCCATACTGAGTAATATTAAGGCCAATCACGTTATTACGCAAAGGACATTCTGTAGGTGGCTGGCGTAATGGGCTACTGCGAGGGTGGTATCTACTACATATCAACATGTTCTCATTTCGCTAGTGATTGATGGCTAGTTTCCTCTATATTATTTGTAACTTTATACTTGTCACTTAACATAATAAAAAATAATGATAAATATATAATTCGTACGAATTAACATGGCACCTGATAGTCAATTCTATTTATTTCCGAACGAAAATTCGGAAAATATCGAATGGTTTTTATAATTTTGTTAAAATCATATCCGTGAAGTTTCAACATCATTCCACTGCATCAGAGGCAGTGTCAGGTGTTGATAAATAGAACAAAGTAGATAAATTAAAGAGGTCGGCAACAGTTCGAGCAGTAAATTGTCATCATACATATATTACAATTTTTCTGCTTAGAGTACGGTGTTTATTCTTGTATATCAAGGTAATTTTGAGCGATATGAAATGTTATACATCTTTATTTGTAACAATGATACGATATGTATTCAATAATATTAGATTCAGTAATACCATTCTCCTTATTTAAGGTATTATGAATCGTGGGGCGATGATATTAAAGCACACGATCGATTGACTGTAGATATTAGCAATTTTATTTCGATATTTTAAATTCCCTAGACTAGATTTATAAGAAAAGTAATATTACAACGGTAGCTGATACCTATCCCTTAAAAATAATAAAGTTTGTAGTAGATGATATTAAATAATAAAACTCTAAAAAACTACTTGTTACGTTCTGTAATGGATACAGGACTAACCAAAATGAAAATTAAAAAATGCTTAATCGCGTATAGGTAATATTGATGCAAAAGTAACATCGCTAGTGGGTTAAGCTTTAGCTTTCGTTATAAATTTTTAATACTAATACAATCATACAAAGACAAGATATACCGCGATTCAGATGGGCACAACACCAGCAGCGAATAAGCAATGTTCTTGATTACGATTTTTTTTTTAATATGATTATTACTATTTCGAAGTTTGGTGTTACAGAGTAATTTATCTTTACTGACCTATTTTCAACCTTTCAGGAGGGAAGCGCGGTCCAGACAAGGCTCTGGTCTTCCAGCCCCCCAGACGAGCCACCGCCGTTCGATCGCCAGGATCCGCCACACATTACTTACGCAAGTCTCCCTCGCCGACAGCTCCAGTGCCACCTTCTGCTACCTCGCCACCGCAGCCGCAACCGCAGTCACAGAACCAGGTATGAAATTCTACAAGTTCATACAACCGTCAATATTGTATCGCAGAATAATTTAGTTCATAGGCAATAAGTTAGTTCAACATCCAGTCTTTTAGTAAAAGACTAATATCAAATCTGCATCTTAATGCACGAGGTACAATGAGTAGCTATTTTAACCAAGACATTGAGTAAGTGGTAAGTAATTATAGAAATAAAATATTTATAAAAATAGTTCCGAGTGGCCTTGCTGATTGTGAGATCTTCTAAACCCCGTAAGTATAAGAACCACTTGAACACGGATTGATGGAATTTTATATTATTTGTCCAAATTATCAGGTTTGGGAATAAATGTAACATTGAAATCTATTGCGTAATGAAATTTCATATGTATGAATTATATAATCAGTTGCATTTGTTTTATATAATAAAATAAAATGCTATATTATAATGATCAATGTTGCCTAACGCTATTTGCTTTTGCTATCAAAAATATGAAGAATCGGAGCAGTCGACTTCAGGTAAACTGCCTCGGGATTGTCACGTTTGTGTGCTTAATAAAGATATGTTACGCGACGTTTTATAATCGATGTACTTATGAGGATGTCTTCTTGTCTTATGTCTCCCCAGTCGGGGCTGAAGGCCGAAACGGTATTTCTCAGCCTCGACCTATCGGAGGCTGCACGCTTGTCTTCGCTTCAGGTTAGTCCAGATACCGCTTTATATTTGCCTCTATTTTAGGCGCCAAGAAGACTTTACTATAGTCAAAGAAGAACCTGAGAGTCAAATGAAAATAGAGAGCGATAATGGGACGATATTCATTCCTTTTTGTGTCATTATTATTTAAGAAATAAGGTCTGAAATTAACCAAAGATGGTCTCTTTTTATTGTGTTTTGTTTTTCTCTTAATAGTAGTTCCAAAACGAATGAGGATCGTTACCCGTAAGCAAACAGTGAATGCGCCTTCATTTATCGTGAGGTGCTTGTACATGTGCTGTAATTTGTCTGCGACATGGGTTTGTTGAAACATTGCGTGAGTCTGCCTTACGTGCAATGTAGTTTGAAAATATACCAAAGCGAGCTTTTGCAGTATAATGTCCGGTTACTTTACATCGTGTACAAGAACCATTATTGTTTCACTTGCATTAAAGCTCACGCTATTTAATGTTTAGCATTATATTTTAATAAAAAATATTAACGCTTTGCAATATGAATACTATTGATTATATTCAGAGCTTTCAATGTATAATTATCTTAAGTTGAGAAAGCTGACGCCTGAACAAGTTATACGACCTATTCCTAAGACAAACAGTAGATTTTACCTTAATATCAGTTACGGAAACCACAAAAAAATATCTTTGTAAATGTGAAAATGTATTCTGATATATGTGTATCAGTCGCCGGGAGGGAACAGTCCACATACCCCTACTGCACCATCGGAACCAGCCCCTTTAAGCAAGGAGCTAGCAGACGCCAATGCTACTGAGAAGATCAAACCACTGGAGAATGAGACCAACGATGGACGCCTCGGAGACTTGCACTTCAAGTTACGGTATGTATTTTCAGTTTTGTTTTAAGATTAAATCTTGATTGGAATTTTCAATGCAAATAATGATAGATATTATTTGATAGCCTGATACAAATACCAATATTCAGTATGGAGATCAAACATTAAAACATAACAGCTGTTTTTTTATTATTATGAGGGTATCATATATATCCTTTTTAATATATGAATTAATCCAACGATTTTTTTTTTCGGAATATTAGTAAAAAAAAAATAAATTCCTTTAATTTGTCAATGGCATGATAAGCAAAATACATATAAAGTGACTTCTACGCATTTTCACACTGTTACTTATGTTACTTCCATGAAATACATAAATCTTCCTAATATTATATTTTTTTTTTAAGCCCGGCCTTACAATCTATGGCCGAGCGTCCTAACTACCCCCACAAACTTGCAGGACTTTGTTTTGGAAACTCATATTTTAATATAACACGGACAATAAATATTTAAAATATATTTGTCAAAAATCAATAATATTAACAATGAAATACGACTTCAATCGATATTACTATATTGCGTTAAGTATATTTTGTTTTGAATCCAATGAAAATTTCCATGGGAATATTGCATACCAATATTCCCGTGGAATATTGGTATATAACACGCAATATATGCAGCAGACTTTTGAATTAAACACATATTCTACTAAATATCATTAAAATCCACTCATAAATATTTAAATAAAAGTTTTATTATATTAAACTACAACAAAAAAAAAAGAATAAAGTAATAGATAAAGTTTAATAAAAATCACTATTTCCTGTAAATTTTTTAGTTGGATTTCAGTTTTCATTGTCGCTATGATAAATAAAACTAAAATTTGTGATAAAAATCGTGTTAGTAATATTGCGTGAAGAAAATAAAGGTTTTTGACCTGATGTTTTTTTATGCCTTCCGTAGCTAAAATGAGATGGATTCTTAAATATAGTCTCTTATAATTGGCTCACAAACTCGATTAAAAATATTCCAGGCTTATAAATTAAAAAATTTTCGATTTTCTCGTATTTGTATCAGGCTATTGAATCCTAACGTGTTTTGAAACTGTTTTCCTAAGACTTTACGCGCGTCAATTATCTCCTGCGTATGATGCAGCTTCCTGTAGGTAAAATAATTTTTAAAAACAATTTAGTAGTTTCGGAATCTACTTATTACCAACAAAGTATCAAATCTTTTCACTTTTTAATATTAGTATAGATAAGGTATAAACCTTCATATACCTATCTATCTTAGCTATAATAGCTTATAAAAAAAATGTAATTTAATATTTCTAGTTATTTTTTATACCTATGAAGTTTATCTTTATCAAACCTTTGGATGAGAGAAAATTATCACTCGGATTTTATTTTAGACAGTGAAGTTAAAACTTTATTTTTGTGTATTTGGGGATCCTGCAGCATCATTCACAATATGATAAAAATCTGTCAATCTAATCACTAGCGAAGCTGATGTCTAGCTTTCACGTGAAACAAATAATCTAATATTGAAATTAAGTTATGTAACACTTGTCAGGTTTCAACCTCGTGAGTTTCTACGAGCAGTCTTTGCCATATCTTTTTTAGTATAATTCTACGTCTTATTTTGTTTTTTCTCATTTACTTTCATTTCATAAATTATTTTATCATTTCATTAAATTATCTATTTGTCATGATTTTTATTTACATTTTCGTTTTGGTTATGCTAGACAAATATTATGTTACAAAACATCACATTGGAATATCTGTGAGAACATGTTAATAGATGATACATATACTTTAAATATGGAAACAAATTATTTAAAAAATTGTTACATCGAATGAGCTGAATATTCCTACTTATATTATAAATTCAAAAGTAACTCTGTATGAACCGATTTTTAGGTAGATTCTTAGATAAATACATAAGTAGAGGTGATCTTGATCTTGAGAAATGAATATAATAACATATATAAAAGGAGTAGAAGGATTTAAATTTGGTACGGAAGTTATTATGTGATTAAGTAGTTTAGAAAGAGACAATGGAAACAAAATGCCATTAACGTAGTAGTGACTACCTGGTAGTATCCAGGCTGCGATGGCGCGGTGAAGTAAGCCCGAGCCCACGCCATCATAGACATCCCAGGGTTTTAATGGGTATGTCATCCGATCTACAACTTTGTGATAATTCCGTACAGGCGGTGAGTACGTGAATCCCAAAGCTTGTGCATAATATATTTCCCTGGTTAAAAAAAGGCGCAAATTACACATCGAAAGCAAATTGCAACGTGGATGAAGTCGTAAACAAAAGTACATAGTTCTTTATTTGTGTACTGTTACGGTGTGTGCACACGTGCCGACATATGACCACGGGTGACGTACATATATATCTGCACCTTTACTTTATAAATAAAGGTGCAGTTTCTGTGACGTCGACGGATTATATATTTAAATCATACAAGTACATCATCCACTAATAACCGACGATAACGTGTCAGTTACGCCTTCAGACGTGACGCAGCAGACCTGTCATTGTTATAGTAATAATAATAGCGAAATTGTAATTAACTAAATAACTTAAACTGTCGGTAGCCATTTTTAAAAAGTAACACCACCTAATGAATTGCGACAAAATTCAAAGGCGAAGTCAAAATATTTTGATACGAAAAAACTTATTAAATGTTATTTAGAATCGTACATTTTTTCATACCTGCGACGCTCAGGCAGCCTATTCTACTAATGTTTACGTAATAATTTCAATGGAGTCTGGACTTTCATTATGCCATTGTACTATCTACCTCAAGTCCAATATTATTAGTGCAATGTCTCCTTCACAAATCTATAGTGGCAGATATATTTATTATTTTGTAGTCTACTAACAATAACTATGTCGTAAAAGGTTGTAGTTCAAATGTTGATTTTCCACAATTGCGCTAAAATTATCAGAATTACACTACTGGACGTCTTTCACTGATAACAAGAAGAAGCGAAAGAAACTCATCGTTCACTCTAAAAGCTCAGTTGCACTAGCCGATGGGATCAGCATGCAAAGCGCAGGCGACCTCTGAGGGTTCATTTTATTGGTAAATGAAACAATGACCTACCAATGAAAGCGAGGAAGAGATATCGCCCGGACGCTGCACGCGGATGTCATCGAAATGAGCTATAATTAAAAAGTAACGACATTTAAAAAAAACTATGTTATCAAAAAAATAATATTAAAAACTTTAATGAATTATGTGGAACAAAACAATTTTATTGGACCCTAAGGTTAATTTCCTTTACAATATTAAAAACTTAATATAAAAAATGTACCTGATGATTTTGATTATTAAACAAAAAATCACTGAATTTATGAAAATACCAATAATTCTGAAGTAAATAAAATCGCTCTTAGGAAATTTCCGATTTTTGCTTCTTTATAAAACAGAAAAATGTTTCTTTAAAGTTAACTCGCTTAAAAATTCGACATACTCGTATATAGTTTAGCATTGTAAATTATATTATCTCGTGTTATCTAAGGCCAGTCAAAAAAGAATTTATAAATAGATTTTTTAAGATAAAGAATATGATTTTCGTGAATTGGATAACACTTTTAAATTGATTACAAAGAGAGTGATCAGATGACAGCTGTCAATAAAGATAAGGACTCACTGCGCCGACCCTACATTGATTGGAAACAGGGCAGGAATATCATGAAGATAAATTGTTTAAATATTGCTGATTATTATTGACACTGGGATAAAACACTTATGAAATCAGAATTCTGCTTATAATAAAATTTTCTAGTATAATGAAAATTCATAATACCCATAATAGTGATAATAATATTATCTATATTCGTTAAATTAAAATTACTATTTTGTTATGTTCTTAACTTAGTCAGGTAAAGGCCAATGAGTCACATGTTGTCAGCAATGAGACGTCGAGAAAGCCATTTCCTCTAAAATCAATACTCCAAGCGGGCGGATCACCTGCCGTAATTGTGTAACTCTGTACTCGTATATAGCGCGTCGTCACCGTTCGCCACAACAATGACCCATCACGTGCCGTGATTTTCTCCGTGCTTACATTATTTGAAAGTCAAGGTGACTTTGATATAAGCATAAGGATCCTATTTGCTGCGTCATTGATTCTAAATAATTATATGTCTACTGTATATTTCTATAAATATAAACGGAAACAAATTAAGATATGAGACTTGTGAGAGCTACGTAATTTCGTAGCATCGTAGCATTCGTAGCAAAAACTTTATATATGTTATCTTACCCCCGGTTTCAATAACCAAAAAACTATCCGTTTTTGCTACCATCCGTAGCATTTCCTACCGATGGTAGCAAAAAAGTGTTTCAATAACATACCATTGGTAGGTAAAGCTACCGACGGTGTGCTACTAACGGATTGATCTGATACTGATAACCGTTCGTAGGCAAAATGTATGAAAATGGCGCAAACAGGTGTTTCAATATCTTTCGGTAGAGCTGTCAAACTTACTATCCGTAGCTTATCCGTCAAATTTGCCTACCGGCCATTTTCCGTCGGTTATCGTAAAAATATTTATAAATGACACGTTTTTCCTTGTTAACTAATAGAAAAATAACAGTTTTTCATTAAAAAAAATAATATTGTAGAAGAGGTTGATGTGTTTTGTGGTTCCAATTAGAAGAATTATAAGTTGTAATCATGCCAATGTTTGTACCTTTAAGGGCTCTTAATTATTGGTCCAGATGCTTTCTTCAATATGTTTCCGTTGAAAAACTTAATGATTTACCTCTATATAATTATGAAAAACCTTGTTCTGATGAAACTGAATTTGCCACCTACTTGTACCAAACTTATACACGGTACATTAGTTTATACATTGGTTTATACCCTTTATTTTTTATTAAACACTAATATTGATTTAATTCTTAATAAAACCCAATTTGGATATAACTTATTTATTTTACAAATAAAAAACAATTCATAAAAACTACATAATTTTAATTATTCCATTGCATTTTTCTACGTTTGTTTTAAGATTTGATACAATCATTCCACTTTTTCTAATAACCATTCATTTATCATCCTATGTCAATGGATCACAATTGTTCACTGTCAAATTCATTAATGTTATCTTGCAAATTCAATACGTATACTATTAACAATTTATAATAAAAGTGAACTCTATATAAAATTCCCGCTAAGCTTCTACGGAACATAAATCAACTTTACTTTTTGGCATAATTAAAGGCAAAGGGATATAGCACATACAACCTAGTCTAGAGTGACAATATTCACATTGAGGTTCACTTGGACGTTTTAAATGCTTTTTTTGGAGCAAAAATTGAAATATATTAGAAAATGGTGAGGTATGTTAAAGTAACACGTTCGCGTTCTTGTACCTACTAAATTGACAAAACACTGCTCATAACCATGCACCGTACCATTTCAATGAACTGTGTATTGCACACGTTTATTTATATTCCGAAATTTAATTCGAGATAAAAAAAAATTATTTAAACAAATGATGTTATTTTAGGGGTTGCAAACATTTTACAAAAGGTTCTAATTATAATTTTATTTTTGCAAATAATAATATGGAAATAAGATGTATAGTGTTATTTTTTATCGACTTCAATGAAAGAGAAGGTTTCTCATTCAAGTGTAACTAATTTTGTATAACAATGTGGGGATAAAAATGTAAGATTTGTTGACATTAGCCTATAAGAATTTCATTACTTTTTCAATTTTAAGAACTTTAAATTGTAAATTAATATCGAATAAAATACTTGTACAGTAGGTGGCAAATTCAGTTTCATCAGAACCAGGTTTTTCATAATTATATAGAGGTAAATCATTATGTTTTTCAAAAGAAACATATTGTAGAAAGCATCTGGACCAATAATTAATTGGTAGTAAGAGCCCTTTAAGGTACAATCATTGACATGATTACAACTTAAATTCTTCTTATCTGAACAACAAAACACATTAAGCTCTTCTACAATATTATTTTTTTAATGAAAAACTGTTACTTTTCTTTTAATTAACAAGGGAAAACGTGTTATTTATTAATATTTTTACGATAAATCATACTAAATAAAAAAAGTTTATTTCAATGAGCCAAATGTTCCGAATCGCTGTTTCTTGCCTGCAGTATAAAATATTTCTATCCTATTTTTATCTAAAAAAAGGATTTTTAGTTCAAGTAAAAAAATTACTAAAAACTTTTAAAGAGATAAATTTAAGCTATTTGTTGTAATGGTAAATCTTTTGCTTACATCAGAATTCAATTTCAGACGATAATTTGTTTCACAATAACACCACTTTTAAGAACCTAACCATATAATAAATAAGTCATAATAATTCCAAAACAAATTTCAAATTTAGTTTCGGTACGTAATCAGTTCACTTCTTTCCTATTGATGTCTCTGTCTTCCTTCTTACGATTTCGATTTTGTCCAAGAAATTATTAAATGTTAAAGACCAACATTTCAGTATAATCATAATATTACCTAAGACAAGGCTGTATGGAAAGAACCCTTTTCCTCGAATTATATGATTACAATTTAAAAAAATGAGCTACCGACAACCGTTCGTAGTTGGTAGGCGTCTACCGATGATTGTGAAACGCAAAAACGAATGATTGTCGGTAGCTCAAAAAACAGTCGGTAGCTGCTACCGATGGTTGTCGGTATATTATTGAAACCGGGGGTAAATCGACCTTTTACTCACACACCATACGTTTGTATGTTTGTAAATTAGTAGAAAAGATATCAATACAATATATTTTTTAATCATATTCATCAAGAGAACGCCTTAAATAAGTTTTTTTTTGTGTAGTTAGTATTTGAAAGCTACTTTTGGACATGAGGTGACACGGGGATTTTTAAATCCAATTTTATCTAACAGAGGTATACAATCAGTCCTACTATTAATAATATTATACAAAAACAATACATCCAAATTTTCCGTCTGACTTGTAGGTAACATATATTATACCGAGAGGCACTTGTATTGTAATCCCTAATAACAATAATAATCAATGAAATATTTATCAGTGAAATATTACAATGCTTTAAAGAACTTTTAGATGGAAATTATTTTGGTTTTTTCCAGTGATAATAACAATTCCTTTAAAAACTTACAGAAATTGTAGACATTATATTGTCTTCTTCTTCTTTAGCATGTCACTACTGTATCAGTGTAGGCTTCCTTCAGCATTTTATATTCATCTCAGCTTTGAGCTCTTTCCAACCATTATATCTATTTTATATTATATTATCCTGTAAATTTATTTCGTTAAATTATTAACAATAATTTAGAAAGTGTTATAACAGTAATGAATTAAAGATGTAAATAGATATTACTACTTTTTGCTAAATATACCAAAGAGCAAGCCACTACGCTATTGAGTTGATCATATTTTAGAATGTAGTAATTTTAGAATGTAGTATCATTCTAAAATTTGAATACGTAACTCAACTTCGTACAAGCTTGATTTTTTAACTTGACATATAAAATCTTTTACCTAGGTTTGGCTCATCTGTTTGAGTTTGTTGTGTTAGTTTTCAAAAATGTCTTGGATTTCATATCAAAAATAAGGTTCAAAAATAAAATAAATGATATAATTTTTTTTAAAGTTTGTAATGTGTCCAAGATAATTCATTACGGTTTATGATTCTTTTGTCCATTTGCTACTTACAAGTTGTCAAAGAATTTAATCATTTCTGAGGACAAAATACATATAAATAGTAGATATCTAGCTATTCTTGTATAAAGAGCTTGTCCTGTTTCACTCATAAAACATTACCGAGTGAAAACTGTTGAAGTTGGAACAATGATATTTGCTCAGTAGCAATTTTTTGGACTGAACACTTATTAAGGAAGAATTTTTTGAAATTCAACCTCAAGGGGGTGAACTAGGAGCTAAAAGCTTATGTGTCAGCCGGTCAGTTCTCAAGTTACAAAACATAAAACTATTTTTGAGTTTCTAATAAAAAAAGGTAATATCTGTTTTAGCGGATATGGAAATTCTACCGCTAAGGGGATTAAATAGGGGTTGAAACCATGGTTAATTTGCTAAATCATTCGCAATCTAAGCGCTTATTCTAAATAATAGATTTATCTACCTATACAGCTGAACGAAATATTTATTAAGATGGAAAAGTGTAAAATTAGCTCTGAAAGTAACAAGTGCTTAGCAAATTATATTTATTGTAAGTAAGTAAGATAGGCCTTACTAACTATCGCATAAACATTGGAATTGAATAGTGTGCCCCCTTAGTTATGACTAGTCAGCCTGCGATCATGCCTACGTTTTTATTACCTAGGAAATCTTTTAGTTTTCAAAGATGTAACTATATCATTACTTAATAATGCCTCCTTAGGTCTCTAGAATATATTAAAGATAAATAATGTTCGTTTTATTTTAAACGTACATACATAGGTGCTAAGTGATAGCCTCTAGGCTTTAAGGTGTCTGCTAAAGGTCGTAACGTCGATGTCTGCTTTTATTACTTGTTGCGACAACATAAAACAAGCTGAGCGATCGTCAAACACGTCCCTGCGTTTACTTTGAAATGTAATATTTATGTTTCAGAGTTACAGTTTAATTTACTTTAAGATCCATTTGTTATATGTATACGAAAATGCTCTTGAAATATAATACTCATTAACTTATAATAGAGAATAAAACCAAATTATTTACGAAACATCATTAATGTTTTTACCCAAAAAAATATTTAAATAGTGACATTTCTTTCACACTTGACCACATAGTGACACATTTCATTGGAGTATAATTTTGTAATATAATTTATTTTAATTACAAATAAAAGTAAACAATATTTGAATTAATTTCGAACATTGTTTCTTCTGCCTTTATTTATGTTTATTAACGATTAATGAATGTTTACAAGGCCCGTTATTCTCAATATCTATACTAATATTATAAAGATTGTTTGTTTTTTGAAAAGGCTCCGATTTTACTAAACATTATTTCACCTAAGGGAAGCTACATCAAACGGCGTGACATAGTTATACTATAATTTACGCAAGCGAAGTCGCTTGGGAACAGCTATTATTTTAATATCCTAATTTATTGTTTAGTTTAACATAGTTTTTACCTTCCCGTATTGATGTTTGTACAGATACGAAAATGAGAAAAATGCTTTGGTGGTATCAGTGGTCTCCTGCCAGGGTCTGCCGGGCCGCGAACCCGCTGGCCCCGATCCATACGTCAAACTGCAGCTGCTGCCTGACAAGCAGCATAAGGTCAAAACCAGGTCGGTAATGTCACATGATACTATGTGTTTGACAGCACCTATACATTTTCCAACTCGAAAAGAAGTCATGTGCTGTCATATCGCCTGAAATTCTTATTTAAATTAATATCACGACTGATTCCTACGTTCCTATTTATTAGGTTATACTTTCTTATTTCAAATTGGTAATTTGCAAAATCGAAAATATTTTTTTTTTCTTTAAAGATATATCTAACAATCTAAATAAACCAATACACTGAAGTATCTGGGATATTCGAAGTTTTGTGAATTTTATCATGACATCAATCTAAGTCATCATAAATACGTTTCTAACGGTCAGTTGTACGAATGTCCATTAAGATTTAATGACGACTTTAAGCTCTAATGAATGCCAAATTTGTATCGGTAATATCGCTTTAAACTACTGACAACTTTAATAACCGTTTGTGCAACTGACTTTAATACTCGTACCTATAGTCGAGAAAAGTAATTAATTACATGAGAAAATTCATAATCTAAGGATATATTTTTACCAAATAAACAAGAATTTGGATAAAGTAAGAATTGTTAATAGTTAGAATTCTATTATTATTAGCTATTAACAATTTTGTAGCTCTGCTCTAACTGAGTAGCTTGGTGGCGTAGTGGATAAGCGCCGCGGCCCGCGATCGTAGTCGTTAAGCAACCTTCGCAAGGGTCGGTCACGGGATGGGTGACCAAAAAATTATTATCTCGAGCTACTCCGTGCTTCGAAAGGCACGTTAAGCCGTTGGTCCCGGCTGCATTTGCAGTCGTTAATACCCTCCAATCCGCATTGGGCCAGCGTGGCCCATCCTCCTTAACCATCCATAAGGAAGGCCTGAGCCCCTGCAGTGCGGACGTAAAAGGGCTGGTGATGATGTGATGATTAACAATTTTTACTTCCTTCAAATTGTCGTATATTAGTTTAAAATAGTTGCTTAAGTTGCAACATTTTCTCAATTAATTATTCCTCTCAACTATAGTCATTCGTTTCGTAACACGTTTTGACTAGTAGATCAATTGAGAAAGATGCATCGACAAATTGCACAGACCCCGTTGTTAATATTTCAGAGTGGTCCGCAAGACCCGGTGCCCAGTCTACGACGAGGACTTCACATTCTATGGGATTGCGCCGCACCAGCTCGCTGGCACCACGCTCCACTTCGTCGTACTCAGCTTTGACAGGTATGCGATATCTTAAAAGCGGTTATATTAAAAACAAAAACATTAAAGTCGGATTGAGGTTTTCTGTAGTTAATTAAATATTGACCTCTCGACTTCAATGTTCCATAAAAATTTAACCACTTTTAAGATAAGTATTCACTTTTTTTTATTTTAAGTCGGTCCCATTTTTTTTCCAAAATTAGATTCGCTTTTGTAACATCAGCTACATACAATATTCTGTTAAAAACGGCCTTGAACTCGTTTCCGAACACAGCGCTGATACAAAATAAAATCTTTATTACCTTTTTAAGTAGGTTTTATTCCATTGAACCTTCATGACGTGACAGAGCTACGTTCGATGAATAGTTCAAGGCTGTTTTTATAATACCCTAGCACTACTGGAATAACTAATTATGTTTAAATCATAAACTTCCCATCATATAATACTAATGAATTGAATGTTATTATGCTTTATAGTTCCATTTTTTCTTTTATAGATATTCTCGTGATGAAATAATCGGAGAAGTGGTAGCACCTCTATCCACACTGCAACTACAGAGTGGTGAAGCTATGGCACTCTGTCGGGAAATACAGCCGCGCAGCCTCAAGGTTGGTGTCACTTATTTTGCACATAGTTCTTACTTATACGGTGATAAAAGACTTCTCCTTCAAAAGCAAATGAACTAGCAAGGGCTGGAGTACAAAGTCTACAAATAGAACCAGAGCCATTTTTTGGTATCCCAAAAAAACCATGTGATGCAAATTCTAATTAATGACCTGCAAATAGATTCAAAAAAATACTGACACAAACAGCCGGGATTAAATCACGCTAAATCCCTAATAAAAGGTCATTCGCAAAAACTAGCTGAAGAGCTCTTGAAACTAAACAGAGCAAATATAAGTACAATTGTACGAACCTTATCTGGACACTGTAAATTAAATAGACACCTATTTAACATGAACCTAAGTGACACTGACATTTGCAGATATTGCAAACAGGAACGTGAAACACCAAAACATATCCTGTGTGAATTTAAACCACTGATCCACAAATGAAGTATACATCAAATCAAAATATATTTATTCAGTTTAGGCTTTTACATCTGGGACGACATACTTATAATCAGCCCAGAAGATACAAAATCTCTAAAAGCCAGGAATATTATAGACTTTTTGAAGGCTACCGGGCTAAAAGAGTTATAACAACAAATAATAATAATACTATACGATTCTGATTTTCGCGACAACTATCGAACCGTGGTAAGTCAACGCGTTCCACGATTCAAAAATGATCTAAAAATATCTATTATTTTATATGAATAAAAACTTTTTGCCAAGTTTTTAACTATTACGTAGCATGGTGCTCCATGTATAGTATAATAAATATGATAACTCAGATGCGCAGCGTGGGTCGCGGCGAGGTGCTGGTGTCGCTGTGCTGGCAGCCGGCGGCCGCGCGCCTCACCGTGGTGCTGCTGAAGGCGCGCAACCTGCCCAAGATGGACGTCACCGGACTCGCGGACCCGTGAGACATTAATATAATACATAATACTTTTATTTTTGTTTTTTATCTTTACAATCAAATTGTACGGCAATCAATAGTAGGTACGATAGTCGTGTTAAGATTTCTGTATTATTTTTTATGTTGCACATTTTCTATTTATTACCTGGTAACGCTCATACGTAATAAGGGTCTGAAATTAATAGGTCGAGATTTGGTGTTATTCATCTGTGGAGAATTAATTTTCCCCATCTGTTTGACACTCCAATCACAATGTTATTGCTGCCCCTTGTATTTCGTGTTTGGCCATGAATTAACGAGGAGGGCCATACAGAGTTGACGAACTGCATTCTTCTGCAGTATGGTAACGCTTAATGCCTACGTATTTACTAGTGCAACAGCGCACTATATCACTAATGGTTTATAGATTACATCTCAAAGCGTTTTCATCCACCTCTCATCTTTCTAAAGAAGCATACCACCTCAAGATGTGAAGGCAATAAATTAATACATCAAGAACACCGAGTTTATTTTTGGAAACAGTTCATTACGCCACGAAGGTGCAAACACTACCTATCATTTTTGACACCCAAAGACTTCATAATATTATTTTCAATGATTTCTTTCCTTTACGTGATCTGTATTGGTACACGATAGAAAGATATAATTGTAGGATGCTGCTTAAATATTGTTTTTATCGTTATATATATTTTTTTTTGTTCAGATACGTCAAAATGTATCTGTTGTACAACGGACAGCGGATTGCCAAGAAAAAGACTCACGTGAAGAAACGGACGCTGAATCCTGTGTTCAACGAATCATTCGTGTTTGAGGTATACATTATTTACTTAAGAGTATTAGTTATTTACGGGATTGGTACCATTCCTTAATAACGGTAAGTCAAATATTATTATACATTGCTAATCACACTCAGAATAAAAAATTGTTTATTCTTAATCTTGATTTTTAAAGAAGAAAAATCTTCTTGGCTTTGTTCATTTGAGTAAATTACTACACAATAAATACTATTGATTTATAAAGGTTACTTTATAACTGATGCTGGTATTGCTGATGTAGTTTTTAACCATTTACGAGTACTTAGTGCATGGGAGATATAGAATGATCTTGGAGTAATTTACTAGTTAAACAAAGCTTTTGATTAGGCTAAGCATCAAACACGTGCAATGAAATCAAAGGACTACCGCATCTAATTCATTGTTGTAGAATAAATAAAAAATATAGACGTAAATACCAATAATACGATATCATCTGGATCGCATGTGAAAATGGGGTTCCTCTGGGTTCTATTTTAGGTCCCTTTCTGTTTCTCTTATATTTATATGTTGATAGTTGATACCGTCAAGATAATTTTGCATTGATACAATCTGCAAGTTGTTTGCCGATGACGATTTTTTCGTAGGTGTTATAACAGTTTCATGTTTGAACCACTAGCTTTTTGGCAAATCTAAAAAATATGAGATTATGATCATTGTCTCCCAAGCTTTCAAAGCAATTGTTTTATTATAATAAAGCAAAACTGATTTAAGTATATAAATAAACAAAAATAATAATAATTTATAAGAACTGTTAAGTCGATTAACATATAAATTTCTTATGTTTTATGATATTTATGGATTTTCCGTACGGAAGACTTGTGTCTTAACAATAGGTCCCTTAACATACTGATGAAGATGATGTTGTAAAAATATTTATATTTTTCTAGGTACCAGCTGCGCCGAATGCCACTCTCGACCATGTCTCTCTGGAACTGCTTGTGCTCGATTGGGATAGAGTCACCAAGAATGAGGTAGGTAGCCTAGAACGTTAAATAGGTAAATTCTAATTAGCCCACAAATTCGAATATTGTGCTCGTCACTGGTTTGTGGCACTCGATCCTCTTTAATCCCGCAAGCGATACGGCGTGAAGATAATGATAGATATTAAATAGGATTTTATTTGAAATCTCTGTAAGTATGTTCTCTGAACGAAACTAAATCGTAGCAAAGAAAAGTGCAGCGATGAAATCTGACCGCGTATTTGTGTTGTGTGCAGGTGATAGGTCGGCTGGAGCTGGGCGCGGAGGGCGCGGGCAGCGCGCGGCACCACTGGCGCGAGGTGCAGGCCGCGCCGCGCCGCCAGATCGCCGACTGGCACAAGCTCAAGGAGTGAACCACCCACCCGCCACCGCCCTACCCCACACCCGCCAACCTTACCTTCAAGCCGGCCATTAAGACGATCGATCTGGATCGTGATCTGATCAAAGTTGCGGATGGATGACAAACATTCAATCTGTCACCAATCGACACATAACACAATCGAACTGATCGAGATCACGCATTGATTTGACGCCAGATTGATCATCTAATGGCCCGAACACACACTACGGATATCGTTAACTGACGCTGACAGAGTTGCCCAACTATCGATAGTTAACCTTAAAATTTAGAAACAGTAATGTTGCAATAATTCAACTTATTCAACCAAAATAAGTCAATCAGGTTTCGGGATTTGCAGTAGTCCTGAAAATCCCGAAAACTGGTTCTTGCAATAGATAGCACATGATACGTTAGTTAAAAACGTTACGATATTTACTTCGATCGTGCGTTACTTTACTTGAAGTTCATAACGGTGACTGTCAAACTACGATATTTACAGTTAGTAATTACCCCTGGAAAATAGAGGAAATAACAAAATGTTATTACTTACTAAAAAACATTATGTTCGAGCACTGATCCCCCACAGGCGATACCTAAAGCCTGTGGGGAATCTGTGCTCGAGTGAAGGAGAAGTCTAACAACTCCTGCCCCTGACTGAGATGCCGAGTCGTGATTGCGAAGTTTGACGTCATTTACTGAACCTAAAAATCTGTAAGTGTAGTTCGGTATCGTTCAAACATTATAAAAATCAATAGCTTTTCTGTTTATTGGTATGCAAGAAGGCGTCACAACGGTAAATTAAGTAAAGATAAAGAATACGTCTAACTAATGTAGATAACAATAACTAATGTAGCAAATCACCTTAGATTGGTCATTAATATCGGTAGTTGGGTAACGTTACCTAATTTTTAACGATATTCAAACCCTATTTCTACCCTCATCGGTCTATATAGATCCTGTTACTTGAATTCAAATTGTAAACTTGTTTATGTAAGTTGTCGATTACGTAAACTTATGCCTATTCAGCACCCTATGTAGAACTTTGAAATATTGAAGTTACTTTGCGCATGTCTTGAAAAAGAACTCTGAGTGCCGTAATAAAAACGAATGGAAACCGATGTTATGCCAACGAAAGATTGAATCGGAGGACAAAGACGGAAGACCGAGTTGAGTTTCTTTATCAATCCTTAAATCTCTCGGTCTTTTGTTTCATCGAAATATTAAGTCTTGGTCTTGCCCGCGAAATGTCATGTACTTATAAACAGAGAGCTCATGACAAAAATATCCAAGGTTTCTGACAGTTCATACTTCAGTATATGGAAGCACATCACTCACCCTGTGCGGAAGTCAGGTGTTGGAACACTTGGTGGCAGCGAAGCAATGTGAAGTGCGTAAAATGGTAACATATATTAAAAGAATTTTGCAAATCTTGTAATTTTCAAGAAACACCTTACCCCGCACTTAAGCGTTGTACAGTGATGTACAACGCTTAAATCTTAATAATTCTACATACCAAAATATCAATCTTAAGAAGTTCTTGCACATTTTTGTCACGACCACTTGTACTATAAAGTGAGATAACATTATAATTTACTCTACCTGTCTTACGTCAGCTAAGTCTTGGACCATAACCATAACATACTGTGAGGATTATCTAGGAGGATTTGATATAAGCAGATATAACCTCACCATACACCAACATTAAATACATATATATATATTATTAAAAGTATTAAAATTTATTCGTAATATCTGACTCAAAATGTACAGGTATCCATATAAATCTAAATTAAGCAGTGTTAGATAATAACAAAAAAATATAAAATAAAAACCAATTTGATCAAGATTAAATAATAAACCCAATTGACAAAGAAATTAAATCGGAGCTTTATTTCCTTATTTCTGTATCAGAAATGTCTACATTATAATTTATCAATGATCATAAAAATATTGACTAATCGCTTTACAATTATTTTTAAATCATTTCTGATCAAAGTATACACATCAAATGCTCCTGTGAAAACCGATAAAATATTATTACATTAATTATTCATGATTTCTGTTCGATGTATAAGGTTTGAGGGTAGTGCAAATATTTGTAAGAAGGCCAAGCCAAAGTCCAAACACAGGTATGAAAAAAAAACTTATTTTTTAGTATTAATTTGTAGTTATTAAATGTTAACTATATTTTGTATTAGATAGTGAAAATATGAGATCGTTTTTGTTATTAATTATATTTTAATCAATGAAACGATGTAATGATACTAACATCTGATTATTCAAACGCACAGTTTAAAATGCATTTCTGTATCCTGTTTATTCTTTGACGACTACAGGGGAGACAGTTTCCCGACTAAAAATAACGAATAAAAGACCTTAACAGTAAATGCTATAGGTTATTTTGGTAGTTACGCCATTTTACCTGTAGCCATCAAAGGTTTGTCAGTAACATTGCTTTCGTGTGTGAATGTAGCATCCTACACAAACCAAAGCATCTCCCAGTTAGTGTAGAATTAATTGAAAAGGGAGTTGAACATGTGGTTTCCGCTCCATTATTAAATTCTCTCATTATTCTACATATCTATATTTAAAACACCGGATGTGAGTTACTTTATATTATTCAATGTTGACTTACAATAGACCAAAATTATTATATAACGATATCGACAATACTTATTGTTACACACTTTTCGGTTTTTTTTTATAAGTATCTAATTGGAAAGGGCGAAGACATATGGACAGTGTATTGTGCTGTGTCGCAATGTTGCAAAGATCGGAACTGTGACATCGTTCTTTAAAAAAATTCAAGCTCTGTATTCATAAAAAAGTTGATTCATATATTTCGTTTCTTGGCAAACTTACGTGTTTTAATACTATAGCAATTATAATGCTTTATCTATCTATCCATATCCATAGTGCGAATTTAGTGAAATCGATTTATTTTTAAGAATACACACACCACAGTATCATCGAGTTGTCCTCGATAAAAGATCCGTAAGACCACATAACATTAAAAATAAAAATGCTTATTAATACAGCTGTAATTTAAAATACACTTATTAGAAGTCTACATGTAGAGTTGTGAATTTATAACAATTAAGTTTGTAATTTTCAACACACACACTGTAACAAATAACGCATCAATGATATCATGTCTATTCGTTTTCGCCCGAGGACTTTATAACAATGTATAATTTGGCACCATCAATCTAATAAAATGTAAGTATAGCGTTAGGACAAAATCTCATAAATATTGTTGGATCTTACGTCTACTAATTAATAAAATAAGAAAAGAAAATAATCGTACTAAGTGTAGATTACCATTAACACAATATTAGACATTATAATTCCATGTTGTCGCTCGAAGACAGCTAATCGTAAGCTGGATTCCTTAGATCCTGGAATCGACAACATGGACTCGCGGTAATACTCAATCCTTAGAACATCAAATATGTATAGTATTAGGTTAGAAAAATCAATCTATTTTATACTAAACGTAGCTAATACTACTTCTGAAGTTAGATACTAAATTGTAAAGCTCATTTGACGAGGCTTTGAGCTTTTAGCAGATATACTTTATATATTAATGCGAGTAACCGCTATTCGTAGCGCTTTCACTGTTTGATCTCGTAAGTTATTTTATCATAAACAAAACCTTTATATTATTTTCACGCTATTTTTAAAGCTAAAAAAATATAAAATGTTATTAAAACATCAGAAATATATGAACATTTTTCCTTTAAATTTTTTTGTAAATTAAAATTATGTAAAAGAAATAAATAAAACTGTGTAACAGTTGAAACGTTACTGATCGAAATAAGTACCTAAATTAAGTCGTGTATTACGTAATCGTTAAATTGTAAGTTGTGTGTATAGTTATTACTTACAAAGTTCCATACTTCAACATTCCAAGGACTCATGTAAATATATACAATATGCCCATCGCTTAGTCGAACATCTCGTTCTTATTGTTAAGTCTAAGCGGATATATACCAGTAAATGTTTCGTTTGAAATCGATGTTTTTGTATTTTCAATCAAATTGATGTGTATTGATGTTGTAGAATCGACTTTTTCCCATAACTGTAGTGAGCTTTCGTTCATGGGGTTAAGAAAAATTATCGAAGAATTACCTTCATAAATACTTCTAGCAACTATTGAAATATACAAAAATGAAAGAATATAAAACTTAAAATAGAGATATGTGTAACATTACTATACTAACGTTCAAATGATATCTCAATTCTCGAGAAAGTAACGCAAAGTAATATTTGAAGTCAAAATATTTTTTCCAATGCCTTTGAAAAAGGACAGTGCAAAAATAAATGAACTCGAGTGTCAGTAAACTTTCATGTAAAATCGTATCCAACTTCGATTCGGGTTTTTGAATTTGGATACCGGACACCATATTTGAATCAATGTTATGAGATTCGAATTGCTCATATTCTATTGAAATTACTAGTGCAATTCGAGCAGGCGTTACCCTGAGTACTATATGTGTACCTTTCTAAGCTATTGTTGTTACAATAGCTTAGTAAGGTTAATAACATGATCTTATTGGAGTCAGGCTTTTTAATTTCCTAATATCCTATGACCCTGTGATCGTAGCTCGACATTTCATATATTGTCACATTCAGTTGTAGTCACATACACCGATATCAAATTTGTATACTAAGGGGTTTTAGTGAATAAATTATTGACTGGTGCTTTCACAGGATTGTTCGTTTTATTTCTTTCCTTATATCTTACCTACTAATATTAAAGAAGTAAAAGTAACTCAGTGAGTCTGTTTTCATTTTAAATTTATAATATTGAATGAACTAATTTTAAATTATAGTCCATCATCAAGTATGTAGAGGTTTAGAAACTGTCAATAGTCTATTTTTGATTTGATACTCGGAAAATCAACTTTTGATATATCAACTTCATAGTGCTCTATCCTACACTATGACGTTAAAATACGTAGAACAAGATGGACGACAAAATCGTACACGATAAATCGATTTTAAGAAGAG